GTGCCGCGACGAGGCGACGGGAGGGGCCGGCGCGCGGGCCCCCAGGGCGCCGCGACGAGGCGACGGGAGGAGGGCGACGCGCGGGCCCCCAGGGCGCCGCGACGGGCGACGGGGGGCAGCGCGCTGGTCCCCGGGGGCGACGCGAGGGTCGACGGGGGGGGCGCGCCATGCAGAAAACCGCCGCGCGCCTCGGGGCGCACGGCGGGCAGAAAACCGCCGCGCGCCCCGAGCGCGCGGCGGGATGAAAAAACGCCGCGCGCTCCGGGCGCGCGGCAGGAACAAAGGGTCACGCGCCCGGGGCGCGCGACAGCAGTAGAGCAGCGGAAGCAGTTAGGTGGTGGGCCCACCCACAGGATCGACCCAAGGGGGTCGACCTGCTCTGAAACCATGTCAGAAGTACGAGCAGAAGTTTAGAACAAGAAAGAGGGGTTTCACTAGCAAGCAGTTGAGTACATATAGGAAACCCTAAATTGGGCTGTACTCGCTATAGAGTACCCCACTGCAGGCTAGACAAATACAACATTCTGACATCATGGAGGTCGCTCGTACCTCCATGATCCATGCGGCTGCCCCCCATTTTCTGTGGCCGTTTGCGGTCCGGTACGCCGCGCATCAGCTCAACCTCTGGCCCCGTGTCTCCTTGCCAGAGACCTCGCCCACACTGCTGTGGACGGGGAAGGTTGGCGATGCGTCGCGTTTCCGGGTCTGGGGTGCTCGTGCCTTTGTCCGCGATACCACCGCGGACAAGCTCTCCGCTCGCGCCATTCCCTGCGTCTTCCTTGGCTTTGTCCCTGACGCGCCTGGCTGGCAGTTTTACGACCCCGCCTCGCGTCGTGTCTTTCCGTCTCAGGACGTCACCTTTGACGAGTCCGTCCCCTTTTACCGTCTCTTTCCCTACCGCACTGCCCCTCGCCCCCCCCACCGCTCTTTCTCGCCCCAGGTCCTCCCCAGGTAGACCCCCTCCCCGCGCCAGGTCCTGCTCCTTCAGGTGTTTCTCAGGTAGACCCTCCCGTGCCTGCGCCTGTTGAGGTCACTGGTAACTCAGGTCCTGCTGGGGGTGGTGCTGTCTTTGGGGGTGCTGGGCCTGGGGGTGCGGAGCTTGGAGGTGCTGAGCCTGGGGGTGCGGAGCCTGCGCGTGAGGACCCAGGAGGTGCTGAGCCGAGGGGTGCGGAGTCTGGGGGCGTTGAGCCTGAGCGTGAGGAGCCTGGAGGTCCTGAGCCTGGGGGTGCTGTGTCTGGAGGTGCTGAGCCCGAGCGTGAGGAGCCTAGGGGTACTGAGTCTGGGGGTGCGACGCCTGAGGGTTCTGAGTCTGCTGCTGCGCGGTCTCCTTGGAGTAGCCGTCTTCGTCCGCGTGTGCCTCTCACCTCACAGCAGCTGCACGACTGGTACGGTCGCCGTCAGGGTCGCGCTTCTGGAGCTCGGGGCTCTGCCGCTGGAGGTACTTCTGCTGACGTCACTGGAGCTGGGAGTGGTGCTGGTCCCGGAGGTGCTCGTACTGGAGGTGCTGGAGCTGCTGGGACTGGAGGTGCTGCTGAGCCTGAGGGTGCTACTGCTGGAGACCCTGGGCCTGGGGGTGCTGCTGCTGGAGACACGGAGGCTGGAGACCCTGGGACTGGAGGTGCCGGTTCTGGGGGTGCTGCTGAGGGTACTCGAGCTGATGAGGGTACTGGAGCTGCTGGAGGTGCTGGAGCTGCTGAGGGTGTTGGAGCTGCTGAGGGTACTGGAGCTGCTGGAGGTACTGGAACTGCTGAGGGTACTGGAGCTGCTGGAGGTGCTGGAGCTGCTGAGGGTGCTGGAGCTGCTGGAGGTGCTGGAGCTGCTGAGGGCGCTGGAGCTGCTGGTGCTGGTGGCACTGCACAGCCGCACCTGTTCTTTGCTCCACCGTCTCCGTCGTCTCTGCCACCGCCTCACTCCGTACTTCGCCAGGTTCTTAGCCTCCCGTCATCTACTGGTCTTCCGTTACAGCCTGGCTCACCTCTGCCTGCTCCTTCTCCTTACGCTGAGCAGACAGGGGGCCTTGCTGAGCGTCGTGAGCCTGCGTCGCGTCCTGTCTCACCTGTCCGTTCTGGTCGTTCCAGTCGTCGTGTTCCTCGTCAGCGTCAGCCGGCTGTCCCCGGCCCTTCCCTTGTAGTCCGTCGTCCTTCCTCTCCTCCGCAGCGTGTTCCTCTGCCGTCTCCTCCTGCGTCTTCTCTGCCTGTCGTTGCGGACCCTGAGTCTGACCGGTTTCGTGCTGAGCACCCTACTGTCACGCGTCTGCTAGCCACTGTTGTCACTGACCCGTCGTTTGAGTCTACTGCTGCGTCTGCCTTTGTCGCTGAGCTGGTTGACTTTGCTGCTGCATGTCGTCTAGACTACGCTGCTAGTCTTGTTGCTGAGTCTGAGTCTGTCTGTCCTCCGTCCGTCGGGGGTGAGTGTGCTCTTGGCACGGACGTCCTTGAGGACAGGCAGGAGGACCTTGAGTGTCTTGCCGCCACTGCGCCTCATCTCGTGGCCATGCTGCTTGTCCCTGAGGGAGACCCGGATGCACCAGACATCCCGACCCCGCGCTTTTACGCTGAGGCGATCGCGGGTGAGTACTCCTCTTAGTGGCAGACAGCCATGGACGCAGAGATGGCATCCTGGAAGTCCACATGCACGTACGTCGACGAGGTTCCCCCTCCTGGGGCGAACATCGTCAGTGGCATGTGGATTTTCAGGGTGAAGCGGCCGCCAGGTTCTCCGCCTGTCTTCAAGGCTCGTTACGTTGCTCGAGGTTTCAGTCAGCGAGAGGGAGTTGACTTCTTCCATACCTTCTCCCCCACCCCGAAGATGACCACTCTTCGGGTGCTGCTGCACGTTGCCGCTCAGCGTGACTACGAGCTTCACTCGCTTGACTTCAGCACAGCTTTCTTTAAGGGCAGCCTGCACGAGGAGATCTGGCTGCGCCGCCCACCCGGCTTCACCGGGTCGTTCCCTCCTGGTACCCAGTGGAGCCTCCGGCGGCCGGTCTACGGTCTCCGCCAGGCGCCACGTGAGTGGCACGACACACTGAGGACGACACTTGCGGCTCTTGGGTTTGCTCCTTCGACTGCTGACCCGTCGCTGTTTCTGCGCACCGACACTTCGCTGCCGCCGTTCTACATCCTCGTGTACGTCGACGACTTGGTCTTTGCCACTGCTGACACTGAGGCTCTCGCCCTGGTGAAGTCGGAGCTGCAGAAGAGACACACGTGCACAGACCTGGGTGAGCTGCGCAGCTACCTTGGATTGCAGATCACCCGGGACAGAGCACGCCGCACCATCACACTGACTCAGTTACACATGGTGCAGCAGGTCCTTCAGCGCTTCGGCTTCACCTGGTCCTCAGCACAGCACACTCCTCTGGCTACAGGTCACTTGCTCTCAGCTCCACCTTCGGACGAGTCCGTAGAGCCGAGTGGTCCTTACCCAGAGCTAGTGGGCTGCCTCATGTACCTGATGATCTGCACTCGTCCTGACCTTGCGTACCCTCTTGGCCTTCTGGCTCGCTACGTGGCTCCTGGTCGGCACCGAAAGGTGCATATGGATGCTGCTAAGAGGGTACTGCGCTACTTGTGCAGTACATCGGGCATGGGGCTCGTGCTTGGAGGGCGGAGTCCAGTTGTCCTCACTGGGCACTCAGACGCTTCTTGGGTTGATGACCAGGCTACACAGCGGTCGTCACAGGGTTACTCGTTCAGCCTTGGCTCCGGCTCTGTTTCTTGGCGGTCTACACGCTCGTCTTCTGTTCTCAGCTCCAGTTGTGAGGCTGAGATCTACGCCACAACCATGGCTGCACAGGAGTTACGCTGGCTCACCTACCTGCTGACCGACCTGGGAGAGCGGCCTCGTTCTCCTCCACTTCTGTACGTAGACAACAAGGCCGCCATTGCCTTGTGTCAGGAGCACAGACTGGAGCACAGAACGAAGCACATCGCTCTGCGTTACTTCCTGGCTCGAGAGTTGCAGCAGCGGGGTCAGCTTCGCCTTGCTCATGTGGCCACTCGGGCCAACACTGCTGATATATTCACCAAGGCACTTCCGTCTGGTGACCATCAGCGCTTTTGTACTTTGTTGGGCCTTGTGCCTACGTTTCCACACTTGCTGTAGTCTCTGCTTGTACTGTGATCTATATATGTATATACCTGCATGCTTGCTCTTGCTAGATAGAGATCATTGTGCTGTTCTTGTTGCTTATATACCTCTGCATGTGGACTGGCCTTGTGGCCGTTTGCTTGTGCTCAGTGTGTGTGGTGACATTGTGATCCACCCTGAGCTGTGTTTTGTTTCTTCTCTTGACTGGTCTTGTGACCATTGCTTGCTCTGGCTATCCCCCATTTCGCCTATGGGGGTGTGTCAAAACATATGCATATTATGATCTAGGCTATATTGGGGCTAGCCTTTAGGGGGTACAAAAACATTCTCGACACTCTAGTTTTGTACCCCAACCTTGACCTAATGAGATCATTCTTGCCTTAGTCTCGACATTATCATTACACGCTTCCGCATTTACAACAAGTCCCACCCAGAGTTTAGCCTTGCAAAGATCCTAAGGGCTTTTCAGCCCAACAATGGATGCCTCCTGGCACTCCAGGAGCAACGTGACAAACAAGCTACAGTAGGCCACTGGCTCTTTCACATGAAGGCTCTTTCACGACAGCTGTACAAATCAAATCAGATCGAACTGGTCTGTACACAGAAGCTTCGAGATGCCTCTAAAAAACGAATCAAACAGAGCGAAGCGAAGCGGCGGTGCTTCACATGGTTTCCCCAGACAGCACAGCGCATCTACTAACACGTTCCATCCCATGCCATTGCCGTAAATTACATCGCAATCCACTACATGACAAACTTGAGGCAGCGGGTTTCATTGTGCAATCTTTGGAAGCTGATGCAGCAGAAGCGGGCGGCACAGCGGGGGCACGTGTAGGGCGCCTCGTGGGAGCCACCAGCCACGGCCCACCAGTCAGTCAGGCCCCTCCACCTCTAGTCCTTTACAAGCTTCACATGACAAACTTCAAGCAGCGGGTTTCGTTGTGCAGCCGCTGGCAGCTGATGCAGCAGAAGCGGGCGGCACACCGTGTGCATGTGTAGGGTGAGTGGCTGCCACACGCAGAGCAGAAGCGACGCACTGAGGTGGCTGTGGGGGCACCGACAGCTGCTGTGAGGTAGGAGGGGGTGCCTGGTGGCAGGGCTTCCAGATTCGCCTGTGGGGAGGAGAAGACAAGACAGGCATGAAAGTGGGACAATTGGATTAGACGCAGAAGCGCACGCAGCACTGAGGTGGCTGTGGGGGGCCCGCTGCTGCTGTGAGGTAGGAGGGCGTGCCTGGTGGTAACGCCTCTAGATTCGCCTACAGGGAGCGAGGAACAGGGTTTGAAAAGGGGAAGGTTGGATAATAAGCAGAAGCGGCGTACTGAGGTGGCTGTAGGGGCCCCGCTGCTGCTGTGAGGTAGGAGCGGGTGCCCAGTGGCAGGCAGGGCTTCTAGACTCGTCTGTGGAGAGGGAGGGAGGAGGGGGTTTGGAAGCGAGGGAGAAGCATGGTAAGGGTGAGCACACACACACACACGATACACAGAGGCTGCAGGGGACCATTGCTACTGTGAGGTAGGAGGGCGTGCCTGGTGTTTGGGTCTTCTAGAGTCGCCTGGGAGGCGGGAGAAGGGGGTATGGAAGAGAAGTCAAGGCATGGAAGGGCGAGCACACGCGATACACTGCTGCAGCCGAGGGAGGAAGGAGGGCAGTTGCGCTTACACCCACCCCACATCGTACCCACCCCACATCATACCAACCCCACGTCGCACCCACCCCACATCGTACCAACCCCACGTCGCACCCACCCCACGTCGTACCAACCCCACGTCACACCCACCCCACGTCGTACCAACCCCACGTCGCACCTCCTCTAGAAGCTCCACGGAGTTCACTCGGTCGCTCTGCTCACCACAGTCACTCTGTCAGTGTCACGTACAAATGCTCTCCCCCATTCCTACCCAGCCCATGTGTTACCCGCCCCGCCCGCCCCTACCCATCCCAAGTCTTACCTCCTCTAGCAGCTCTGCAAAGGTCTTGGGCGTTCGCTTGCTCGCTCTGCTCACCACAGCAGCAGCAGCCTGCCTCGTTCGCCTCTTGCCCGGGCGGCTCACTCGCTTGGCCGGTGCAAAGCCTGCTTGCAGTCGAGGAAGACAGAAAGAGAAATAGAGAGAGATAGACAGTGGGAGGAAGGGCACGCAGGAATGGGAAGGTGAGCCTGCCTTGTGCGCCTTGCTTAGTACCATGAAGAGATGGAAGCAAGGGAGAAGCATGGTGGGGTTGAATTGCCACTTGTACCCTAAGTTGTGCTTCCTGGTTATAAGATGACCCATGCCCCCTTCTTCTTTCCATGCCCCGACTGAATCAACCTTCCAGCACACCTCCTTTGTCCTCGCTATAAGCATACCTTCGTGGGCCAGTAGTCCATACTCGCTATAAGCATACCTTCTTGCACGAGCTCCTCCTCTGCATTGAACACGTCATCATCCTCATCCACAGCAGCATCCACCCCGGTATAATCACTCTCTAGAGCCTCTAGTCGCGCTGCCGCTGCCTGGGTGGGTGCATAGGAGACGCACACAAAAGGAAAGTGGCGGACAGGTTAGGGAAAGAGGAGGTACTACTCGCCACGTCGTAGTATCATCATCATCATCATCATCCACAGCAGCGTGCGCCCCAGTATAGCCACTCTCTAAAGCATCTAATCGCGCTGCCGCTGCCTGCGAGGAACACAGAATGCGAGGCACGAGAGGTGCTTGTTTCACACTGAAGTGACTTTTGAGAATCTCAAGAGCGAGAGAACTGTCAGAGAAAGCGAGGCTCGTCTCTCCTTTTGAGGCGCCTCAAAAGGCTCATCTCTCCGCCTCCCTTCTATTCCATTCATTCCAGTCTCGTTCCTCTCTCCCCTCTCTGCACCACAATCCCTTCAGACAGCCCACCTGCGAAACTCCCTGAGCCACTGTCGCTTGGTGTGATTCACCAAGTGTCATTCCCTTTTTCAGATAGCGCTCATTTACTCGTTTCCCCAACACAGTCCCATCGATCACTCACCCGTTTCCGCGTGCCTTCATCCAGCATCACCGCCACCACATCTGCTGCCACCTTGCGTTGCCTCAGCGACCCTCTCCTCTCCGCCGCTGCTGCCACTGCCGTCGCGCCTTTCAAACCGCCTTTCAACGAATCCATTGCACCTGTCGCCTCCCCATGGCAAGGGGAATAGGGGAGGGGAAGGGAGAAGGGGGGAGGGGAAAGGGGGAGGGAAAGAGGGGAGAGGAGGGGAGGGGGAGGCGGAGGGAAAAGGGAAGCGGGAGGAACACGGAAAGAGAGAGTTGATCGGAGGATCAGACACTGGTAATGCATGGGAGGCGAGAGGGTGGAGGGCCTCTCAAGGCGACGTTGAGAATCGAGCGGGCCGAAGACAACGCAATCGGCGGGGAGGCGGAATACGATATTTGAAAACGGAAGGACGACGGAGAGGATAGAGGGGACCAGGGAGGAGAGGAAGTTACGCGGCTGGGAAGGCGTGAGGGGCGGAGGGGGGGCAAAAGAAGCAAGGACGACGGGGAGGATAGAGGGGGCGGAACAGGATAGGGTTGGGGCTGGGATAAGGACGGCAAGCAAGGCCGTGAGCGATGGGGAACGGTGAGGAACGGTAGGGAACGGTGAGTGAAAGAAAAGAAACGCAAGGTGATTTTGGAACGATGCGGAGGAAATGAATGGGTAGAATACCGGCTTTTCGTAGATCAATCGTTGCAGAGCGGCAGTAGCGTGCTACCTGCGAGAGAGCGACAGGGTAGCGGGGTTTTTTGCGTTGAAAGCGATCTGACTACGTTCTTCGAAATCCGTACTGGAGGCATAGAAACTTCGACACACTACGGATTTCTGCGCTTCGAAGCATCTGTTCTTGAGCGTTCGCGCATCGCAACTACGTCGCGTTGATAAGGTGCAGTATTAAGAAGTGCGAAAAGCAGTTTAGCAAAACTGTTAGGACTGATGGTAAGACGGGGTCGCAACATACGCCGCAAAGGCCGCGAAGGCCGCGTAGGCCGTGGTCACAATATGGGCTGCTTAGGCCATGTAGGCTGTGGGCGACAACTGATACAGGTTGACGAAATCAGCAAGCCCTTGCGCGAAGTGACAAGTATTTGTGTTACGTCAACATCAAGATTTCGCTTCTTGACAGTTTCAAGTTTGGGTTGGGTTGAGGGTGGTAGATATGTTTTGCTTCAGAATTGCATCTTGGGAGGTGTTGATTTCGTTGCCGACTTCCTTTGTGGAAACCCGGCTTGTGTCACTTCCTCTATTAGTACTTGCGTTGCCCAGACCCAAAACAGAGATCAGTGCTTTTTTTCCTAGATACCTCGTTAGTCAAGCAGGCCTGACTGCTGCAAGTTGCGCTAAACCCTCGACGCTTTTAACGATCTCTCTCTCTCTCTCCAGGCTCGTGCGATCGCGCCGCCCACGTCAGCCATGCCGCTCGGTCAGAGAGCCGGCGACGCGAGCGAATCTCGATACTGCGGTGCCGAGGTCGCTTATAGCGAGGACATCCATCACACATTTGCGGCGAACTTGGCAGGAGGCTTCGATTTCATCCTCGCTCCACTAGTACGCCGCAACCCGCAAACCCTCCTTCCCTCCCTCATTCCCTTCTTCCTTCCCTCCCGTTCCCCCCGCCCTTTGCGGAACACACGCTCCCCTTCCTTTTTATTCCAGTACCAGATCGCACAGTGTTCGTCGTGACATCGCACCGTACCTTGCCTATACTCCCGAACCTGAGATCAGCGAGATGATCCTTGGTACAGCGATATCGTTTTCTCTGCGATATTCAGAGTGCAGAGCGGATTGCGAGGGATGTTTGCGCGCACCTTTCGACCCGTCCCTTCGCTAGAACCTGCTACGTATCCTTCTCGATATTCGTTGTTAGCTATGCGCGAAGCTTCCGATCTTCTACGATTTATCAGACGCCACGTGAGATTCATAAACGCATCAGAATCCTGAGCAATGTAACTCCGGTCCGCATCCGCCGCTCGTCCTCGTCTCACCGACCGAACCTCTGGCTGATCCCACAGTCGAAGCGCGGGTGCCGCCCGTCCTACCGGCCGAGTTAAGCCAAGCCAGCCGCGGCAGGCGGGGCCGTGGTGCCGCCCTTCGCGGGATCGGATCTGGTACTCACTCCGTCCACCTCCTTACGAACATTCGGATTCTTCCCCACCCTTAACATCCGTGATCCCCCCCCCCCCCCCCCCCCTCCCCCCAGACCGATCCCTCCTACCGGCCGAGCGAAGCCAAGCCCGCGGCGGCAGGCGGGGCCGTGGTGCCGCCCTTCGCGGGATCGGATCTGGTGCTGAGCCCGTCGCAATGGAGCAGCCACGTGGTCGGCAAGCTCTCCACGTGGGCTGACGTGGACTCCCCGGATGCGCTGATGCGATCTGACAGCGAGACTGTGATTAAACAGGAAATCAGCTGGGCCTCGCATTTGTCACTTCAGGTTAGTGGCTCGGATTGGTCGGTAGAATAGATCAAATAAAGCAGTTACTGCAGAAGTAGGCTGGCTGGGGGTGAAAGACGTTAGATCAGGGTTTCAGGGTTTTGCGGAGGTTTTGTACAAAGAACGTTTGTTTGTTTGTTTTTTTTTTTTTCCTTCCACGAATTTCTCAACGTTCAGTTTCATTCAAATCCGGGCGGCGTGCCGCCCATGCACAGGGACAATGCCCTGTGCTGCCATGCCAATACACTCACTATCCAAACACATTGCCATTGCATAAAAAAAAACCCCACCTTTTTTTACTCCATTCTCCCCCCAAACCATTCCTCCCCTCCCCACCCCCTTCTCTTTCCTCCCTTCCCACGTCTCCCCAAACCCCCCTCCCCACAAACCATGCCCTGGTGTGCCTGTTGCCTCCAGTCAACCTTTTGTTCAGTCGTGCCTAGTGCCTACCTCGAATCCCCAATTTTCCTTTTCTCTGCTGGTTCCCGCTAAACACCCACACCTCCCCCCCTCCTCCCGCCCCCCCCTTCACCCTCACCCCTCCTTTCCTTCCCCCTTCCTCCCGTCCAATCAGTGAGCGGGCATGCCTGCTGCCGACGCCCAGGGCGCTAGATTGCGGCAACTATGCGCGGTGCATCTGCATCAATCAACCGAATGCATGAAAAAAAAAATCTTCCCCCACCCATCCCCCCTACAACCCTCCTGCCCCCTCTCACTGTGTGAGCAGGCGTGCCTGCTGCCGACGCCCAGGGCGCTTGACTGTGGCAACTACGCGCGGTGCATCAGAAATATACTCATTCCCCCTCCCCTTCCCTCCCTCCCTCCCATCTGTTCAGGCGTGCCTGCTGCCGACGCCCAGGGCGCTAGATTGTGGCAACTATGCGCGGTGCATCAACCAAGTGCTGCAGGGGCTGTCCAGCATGCAGGTGGGGTGCGGTAGGGAGGGGTGTGAATGGGCTGGCGGCTGGGTGATACGTGTGTCGGCTTATGTAGCGTAGCCCCCCTTTTCTCACCTCTGCTGTTGTCGGTCCTTTCCTAATCACTACAAACTTGGCAACACACTCCCCTTGTCCCACCACCCCCCCCCCACCCCCCCTTACCCTCACCGCCTCCTTACCCTCGCCACTTCCTTACCCTCCCCTTTCCTTTGACGCCACGCCACTACTACTACCCCCGTTCTTCCCTCTACCCCTCAACTGCTTACAGCTGTGGCAGCCACAGCTATACAACAGCTGTGGTTGCACATCTTCTTAATGGCACCCCCGTCTCTCCCCTTCCCCACCCTAACCCCCTTCTCTCCCCTTCCCCACCCTAACCCCCTTCTCTCGCCCACCCCCACCCACCCCATCCCCTTGTCTTCCCCATCCTCACCCTCCCCTTTCCCTCTCTTACCATCCCAACCCCTCACTCACATCCCCCTCCGCTTACTCCCCCCACCCCCCCTTTTCCCCCTTCCCGCAGCTGTGGCTGCACATCCCCCTCCTAGTGGCGCTAGAGCGGCAGGCAGCAGAGGGAGCGCTGAAAAGCCTTTTCTCCTTGTTGTTTCCCTTCCGTCCTCCCCTCTTCCCCTCTCCCTCTGTCCCCCCGCTCTGACGCAGCTGTGGCTGCGCATCCCCCCCCCCTGGTGGCGCTAGAGGTGACTTTTGAGTCGACTCAAAAGTTCCCCTCTCCCTCTTCCCCCCGCTCTGACGCAGCTGTGGCTGCGTCTTCCCCCCCTGGTGGCGCTAGAGCGGCAGGCAGCAGAGGGCACGGCACTCTAGTGCACTCCCTCCCTCCTGTTTTTGAGTCGACTCAAACATAGACTCTAGTACACTCCCTCCTGCTCTGCTCCCTTTCCTTTCCGCGTACCCTCACCCGGCAATAATCACCCCCCCCTCCCCCCCCCCCCCCCTCAAAATCCCATGCAGCTGTGGCTGCGCATCCCCATAGTAGCACCGGAGCTGCAGGCAGCAGAGGGCAGCGCGGAGGAGGACGCTGTGATGCTGGTGAGGGGGATGGGAAGGGGTTGAGAGGGGTGAGAGAGGGAGAGGGGTGGGTGCGGTGGTGAGGGGAGTGGGTGGGCGTGTTGAGTTGAGGAAACAGAGGCAGCGCGGAGGAGGACACTGTGATGCTGGTGAGGGGGGTGGTGGAAGGGTGGGGGGCGGGGGGGTCATTATGGCAGTAGTAGTACAGAGGAACCTAGGAGGGCGTGCAGGCAGGCAGCAGAGGGCAGCAGGGAGGAGGATGATGGTGAGTGGGGTGGGGGTGATGCTGCCTGCTACCATAGAGGGAGTGGGGAAGCCTCCGCTGCCCCTTCCCCCCTGTCTCCACCCCACCTCTTTCCTTTCCCCACCTCCCCTCCTCTCTCCCCATCACAGCAGCTTGGCCCCAACACGAACCGCATGGTGAACTAACGGCAGCTGGGAGTGGTGAAACGAGTGTCTCACGTTTCTCCCCCCTTGAACCCCCACACTACAGCAGCACGGCCCCAACACGAACCGCATGGTGAACTAACGACAGCTGGGAGTGGTGAAACGCCTTCCGCTGCTTCTTCTCCCCTCACCCTCCCCAACCTCGTCCCCACTCCCCTTCCTCTTCCTCTTCCCCCTCTCCTCCGCTCTCCCCACATCACAGCAACGTGACCTCAACACGAACCGAATGGTGAACTAACGACAGCTGGGAGTGGTGGAACGAGCTTCTAATGCCCTTTACCTTTACCCCTTTTCTTCTCCTCCTACGTACCCTCTCCCCATCACAGCAGCGCGACCCCAACACGAACCGCATGGTGAACGACAGCTGGGAGTGGTGGAACGCCTTCCGCTGCCTGTGTGAGCACCACGGGCACCTCTCTGTCGCCCTCGACATCACGTGAGTTCCTCCCCTGTCTGTCGTGACAGTGGCTGTGTGAAGCCAAGCACATGAGTACAAACACACCAACAGCATGGTGGTGAATGTCAGACAGCTGGGAGCGGTGGAACGCCTTCCGCTGCCTGTGTGAGCACCACGGGCACCTCTCTGTCGCCCTCGACGTCACGTGAGTTCCTCCCCTGTCTGTCGTGACAGTGGCTGTGTGAAGCCAAGCACATGAGTACAAACACACCAGCAGCATGGTGGTGAATGTCAGACAGCTGGGAGCGGTGGAACGCCTTCCGCTGCCTGTGTGAGCACCACGGGCACCTCTCTGTCGCCCTTGACATCACGTGATTTTCCCCCCTGTCTGTGTGCTTCGCCCTCGCCCCTCACCCCTCACCCCTCCCCCCTCACCCCTCGTCGCTCACCCATGGTTCGTTGGTTGGTTGAAGCGCCGCTTTTCAGCTGCATTGAAGCGCCTGCCTCACCTGCAGGGGCAGCAGGGTGGGAGATGAGGGCGCCACTCCCCACTCCCCACTC